AAAATACTTCATTTTAAAACAGGTACTAAATAGTCACAGTCAAAGGTTTGATTATGAGTCAGCTTTGTTGGTTTTAGTCTCAGTAGTCACCAGCACCACCAACCTGACATACTGGCAATACATAGTTTTGGTCACCAGGTAAAGGAGTCATAGACAACCGGTACTACCACTTATAGAAAATAAACGGAGAGCACATGTCCTAATTTGTTCCTGAAGATAAGAATATTACTTAAAATAATATCAGCAAAATATAAAATCAAGTGAAATATTACATTAAATATAACAATTGAAAGAATGGGGATAGACAAGGAAGAACTTTTGCATGCTAATGTTTAGATATTAGAATAAGTTTCTCAGGATAATATTTTGAAGCATTTAACAATTGACAGTGTTATAAATTATGTGGACAGTGCTAAAAGTGGGTACAGAGGAAAAAAGTGGAGTTAGTTTTGTCAAGTTCGTCTCTTCAAAGTGAGCGGGAACATTTTATTTTAGAAAAACAATGATATCAGAATCCCATTTCATCTTTTCATTTTCAAACACTGACTTTATGTGACTTTGGGAGAAGCTTTTAAGTTTTATATAAAGCACTTTTTTTTTTGTACATAGCACAAAGTGGGAACCTTTAAAATCACCTACTTGTATAGCATTTAATTTAAAGAATATGTTCATACATATTACTCTATTTTCTCAATTCTAAGAGCCCATCAATTGTAAGGCACATTGTTTGATTTAATAACAATGTTTTAATGTCTCTTTTTGGAAAAATAAAACACTTTTCTTTGGGGAGGAGGAGCCTTTGATCGAAGGATTATTCTGAATTCCTTTGGGCCATGGGCACTGTTGCAAATGCTGCTCTTTCTGATCTTTCACACTTTTAGGATTGATAGCATCATTCTGAGCCATGTCCAGGAATTACTTTGGTGAGGTTTTCATTTCCTGTTTAATTAAAAAAAAATTTTTTTTTTACTAATTATATTACATTTCACTCGAAGTTAAATAACTTCTCTTGAAAGCCATCCAGAAGACTTTAACAGCCAGATATTTGCTACCTGCTTAGAATTATCACTTGTGAAACCTTCACTAAACATAATTCAGCCACATGTCACAGACAGTTCTGCATATATAACTTTTTGTTTCAATGCTGCATTATAGTGATCTTTAAAAATACATTTTAAGAGATAATTTAGGGATTTTAAATTAAGTTAAAATTCAGCTGTGCATAGTTCTATTGATGCAGATAAGTGACAGATAAAAGGTAAATTCTTAGTCATGTCTAAGTTCATACATGAATACAATAATACACCTGGATATAATACAAAGCATTCTAGCATTTTGTGTAATGTCTGGCAAAGTTCTTTTGATATCTGCAGTAAGAATCCTCTTCATTTGAAAAATGTTAAAGTGAAAAAAATGTGCGTTAAGTATCGAGAAAATAAATTATTCCTTTTTTTCCCTCACAGCAGCTGTTTAAGGAAGACAGAGCAGGCATTGGATAATATTCTTATTAAGGTAAAGAATCTGGGTGTTTGAGACTTAAGGTCATACAACAAGTAGTCTACCTGGAATTATGAACCAGGTCTTGAAGACTTCCAGATATTTGTGCTGTCTACTGTGCTGCATTTTCAACAATAATTCATTTGTCTGTGGGTTAAATTCAATTTAATGAGATTCATTTATTCAACGTATATTTATTAAATGTTATTATTGCTAGTCACTGTGTTAAATGATACTGTAAGACAGTAAACAAGACAGAGTTATCTTTCCGTGTCTTCATGAAACCAGCAGCTTTTGAAAAGACTAAAACTAAACAAATAATTACAACTAAGATGAGCATTAAGGGAGAAATTGTAAGATGATAGGAAAAAAATATCACAGGCCAACTTAACATGCTCTGGGATGGTGGGGGAGTGTTGAATGTGAACCTAGGGTAGGACATGAGAAATAACTTTTGGGCTGAAATTGGAAAAATCAGCATGAATTAGCTAAGCCTAGGAATTAGGAGAAGGGTTAGGATAGAACATTGCAGGCAACAGAAATAGCATCTACAAAAGTAAAAAGAAGAACTATAAGGATTCCAGTGTGAACATTGAAAGGAAGGATAAGTAAATATACAGAAGAATGCAGGAAAGAGATTATGTGTTCGTTCTTCAGGATTTTTTGGCCTGTATCCTAAGGGATATTGGGAAGCCATAAAAAGGTTTTAAGCACCGGGGTATGCCATGATTCAATTTTTCATTTCAAAAACATGAGTCTGACTGCAGCATATATAGAAGCAATGTTGTTAGATGCTATTTCTGTAGGCCAGGTTGGAGATGATGGTTACAGCAGTGGAGTTGGAGAGAAGGGAATAGATTTGAAATTTGGGATGTAGACAAAGCCTTGCATTTGACAGAAATATAAAACTATTAATGGTATTGTTATTGTTCTACCTATAGAATTTCATCTAAAATGCTGTCAGTAACTTGTACTTAGGAGGAAGTGACTATATTATAAATGTAATTTAGAAAACATTGTTTCTTAAAAAATAATTTTTGATTTGGGCTAATTCTTGTTATTGTTTGTTAACTTCATTAAATAATATAGAGAGTATAGGGAGAACTGAGGGTTTATTTGGTTTTCCTTTTGTTTTTTTGAGACAAAGTCTCGCTGTCTGGCCAGGCTGGAGTACAGTGGTGGGATCTTGGCTCCCTGCAACCTCTGACTCCAGGTTCAAGGGATTCTCCTGTCTTAGCCTCCTGAGTAGCTGAGACTACAGGCACATGCCTCCATGCCATCTAGTTTTTGTATTTTTAGTAGAGATGGGGTTTCACCATGTTGGCCAGGATGGTCTCAATCTCTTGACCTCATGATCTGCCCACCTTGGCCTCCCAAAGTGCTGGGATTACAGGCATGAGCCACTGCGCCCAGCCCAGGAGAACTTAGTTTTAAAAGAAAAGTTACTTCCTAATTTATGCATAAAACACATAAGTAATTTTGTACATACATGATAGGTATATATGTAGTGCAGGTCATCTTGTTTACACCACTTATTAATGAATATCAGACTTGGAAGGTCTAGGATTTTCCTACTGGTTGCGTGATTGAAACTTAGATGAAGAATTTAACCCTTCAAATAGCATTCTATTAAGAAACACTTTTTTTCACGATTATTATAAGAATTTATTGCTGGATCATTGACTCTAGAAATAGACTTCTGGTTAAATTAAAAGATGCAGGAGGAAACATTTTGGAAACAGACTTTCCAGAATTCCTTATGAACTTCTGTACTTTCTTAATCAATCATATTTCTTTTGTGTACCGATGGCTGTTATTAGCCTGTTGTATCAGGGATACCATAGTCAAGTACCTGTAAGGGCCTTAACTATAAATAATTAGGCCATTTAGGGAAATAATAAGGAAACTGGGGCTTTAGAGAATTTGTGCTCACCTAACTGGGTAGAGGGACAGCTAATATTCTGCTCCATCTGATGGTGACCGTGGGAGTATTCAGGCTGATTGTTGCCCAGTATTTCAGTTTTTCCAAAGGATCCTAAAATACAGATTTTTATTTAAGTTAGTTGGTAACTAATTCAAGAAGTGTTTTTAAGACACTCTGTGACAGTAACTCTACAGGGCAAAATAGACCTATAGAATGTATTTGGCCCACAGGCCTCTGTTTTGTAGCCTTTACCTTATAGAAATCTTCAACATCTATTTAAAAGTAAGAGGTCAAAAGCATTTCTAGGTAAAATAAATGCCAAAAGAAGGGAAGAAGGGAATGAGTAAATGAGATATTTTTTAAAAGAAGTACAAAACTAGTTATCTAGGTTATATTTTTAGTTTACACTAAGTTCAAAAAGAAATTCACTGTCCTCAGAATAATTTTCATACACTTCAGAGCATACTTCTAGCAACCTCAGCCATCTGTGTGTGTATAACTGGGAACTCAGAGTGGGGTGAGAATGCGCGGGGCATAGACAGCCAGTGAACTGTAGATGAGGGTATTGCAGTTTTCTGAAAGTGTGGTGAGTAAAGTACAGCAGGACCAAGAGACAGTTCATATTGGAGCAAAATCAGGCTATAGGAACATAGCAATCGGAGTACGTCCTGGGCCCCTGAAAGCATTACTATACTAAAAGCATAATTTGTTATACTGATGATCAAGAAGAAGTCATATTGGTACACTAAGATTGAGCAACTCCCCTTCCAATGCACATATAGTACACAGTCACTGTAGGAAATTAGGAAAATACAGACAAGTAACATACAATATTTTTTTAAGCTAGGAATAAGTAAAATAGATTTTAAGGTTTTCTAAAAGTAGTTAACATAGAACTTGGCGATTCTTAGTTTCCTAATAGCTAATTAGTTTCCAAATTAGTCTAATTTGGCTTAAATAAAAAGAATATTTGGTTGGCTTACATAGGAAAGTACATATATTAGGATTAGTTGTGCTAATGGCTTGGTGATTTTTTTTCCAAGGACTCAGTTGGTCATCTACTGTACTCTTTCTCCATGGTATTTTCCTTTATCCCAACACTGTAGTTGCTAAATGGCTGTTGGTTGCAATCAGGATTGTGTGTTTCCTCCTTCAGATCCAAAAAGAAAAGAATAAACTTCTCTAGGCGTTCTCTGGGAAATATGGCTTCTTTTCCCTGAGAAGTTCTCATGCACTCCTGCCCCCAGCTTGCTCCTTGTTGGCCTAAATTTGCTTAATTCTAAATATGCCTAAACTAATCATTGGCAAGAGGATGAGCTTACCATAATGGATTAGATTAATTGTGGTCTACCCTTGCAGCTCAGGACAGTCAGCTTACCCTGGGGCACACTGACTACTGGGAGAGATGTGGATATAGAAATGCAATCATGGATCATTAGGAAGAAGGAAGCCTTGGATAGGCACTCAGCATGGTCCACCACGGGTGCATTAAGGATTGTGGATTATGTTTTTTTACTTGAGACACTACCTTCCTCTATCAAGCCTGTAATAATAAAATTGAGTCCCTGGTGAATCTACTCTCTTGTCTTATGTGTTTCAGCACCCTCATTAGCAGAGCTTGTATAGCTTTGGAATTGAAGATTTTTTTTTTTTCAAAAATTCTCTTGTCATTTAATAGACATCTATCTGTAGAGTAAACTATGTGGGCCATAAAGGAACAAGGAGAGTTTAGGAAAATACAGTTTCTTAAACAAATTACTTTTTAAAAAGTATATTTTCTTTCAGCTCTTCCCTCCAAAGGAATTTTGTACCATAATCTCTGTAGTATATTTACTGTCTGATTATAAAGGTCAAGTATAATTTATGGAATATTTACAAAGCAAAAAGAAATACTTATTTTTAAAATTTAAAATTTTTTTGTGTAGAAAATGCTATAATAATTTATGATTTTAAGTATCTGTAATTTTGGCTAAAATATTTAACCAGCCAACCATATATCTTATTTCTTCCAGTTGCTAGATTTCTGAATATTAGCCAAAAATGTTAGTATCTGGGTCACATAGTCATTACAAACAAATCTAGGCCAAAATGGTTTGTGCTTCTCAGTTGCCAGCTCACTTCTCTCTGACTTTTCATTATCTGTTTCTCTTTGAACTAAACTTTATTTACTTATACTAGCACAGTACTGTGTGAATTCTTTGTGTAGAACCAGTCTTCTTGTGTCTTTTTCCCCTAAATCAGGGTAACAAACAAATAAATGACTGTGCTCTTGGCTGTTATGATTTAGAATGGTTACTGTACAAAAGGTCACACATGTTAAATTACCTACTGCAGTGCTAATTATTGTGAAACCTTGTTCAAAATGCTAGAGAGACTGTGTTTTGGCACTTGCACTATAACAGTTTTTAAAGATCCAACGTGTATTCATTTTGGTATTGAAAGCCTCAAAACTCCTAAAGACCCCATGTTAATTTAAAATGCGAAGTTGTGTCACCTTTTTATACTAGATGGGATAGCAGTTTTCAAGGTAAAATGAAAAGTTTTATGTGTTGTGATAGAGAGGTAAGGGCAGAGAGAGGGAGGGAAAGGAGTAAATTGGAGCAACAAAAATTCCACTCTCATTTATAAAGTGCTATATATAGGCTCTAAAATTCCATTCTGAAATGCTCTTTTAAGTCTGAAAGGGGTGTGTTTACTGCCAGCTTCTGTTAACACAGGAACCATAGTTTTTTTGTTCTTAAAATTAAGAACTTTATACCTTTTGGAATTTTTAATATTTTTTCTCTATGTTTATAATGCTTTTAATTATGTTTATTAACTTATGTTATTAACTATGTTTATAATATGTGTACTCTATTCTGTTTGGAAAGTACAAAATGATACCATAGATACTTCCTGAAGTTTTCTAGAAAAATTAAAACTTCATTCATCTTTATTCATAGCATCATTGGACATTCAGTTAGTAAATTTTTCAGCTAACAAACACCTATCTTCTTCAATTGCCAGGATAGTTCATCTCAACCCTTATTATTATAAAATATCATCATGACTCAGGTTGTTGTTGAAAATTTCTTAGTGTCTTCAGGAAGACTGCCTCAGGGCTACTAAGGTATATCATAGGGCTGTTTGTCCTTTCAGAAACAATTCTTAGTAGCTGTTGTTGCTTTGCATTTTTATAAAATGTCTTTTTTCAAAGCTTGATATAAATTCTTATAGCTACTGGTGTGCAGAGAAAGGTATCTGTAAATAAAATAAGAGAAACATGTTCATAATGGTTTGAAGAGCACTTCAATGAGTAAAGTACTTGGACTTTACAATGTTTGCTTTTACTTCACTAAGTCTTGCCCTGTGGCCCCCCGCCCCTGCCCCTTTATGCCCTAGTCTCTTTTTAAAACATGGTACTTGGCAGTGTTCCAGGTACTTATTGTAAGAAAGATGAGGTTAGATTTGGAGCTTGACAAACATGAAGGGAATTAAAACAGGATCATTTAATAGCTCTGGAACCTTAAGCAAGTTCACAGCTATAAAATGGGTTTGTATATACTATCTCTCAGGATTGTAAGGATTAAAAATAATGGATCTAGTTTAGGAGGTATTTTAACAAATGTTAGTTCCTTTCCTTTAAGATAAAT